TGTTTTCCCTTTTCTGTTTTTGCTAGCAGATAGGTCTTTAGATGAACACACCCTTTGATTAGAACAACAAGAGTGGATCCTGTTGAGTACAATGGATGCGAGGGGTGCTAACACCTTCCTCTCGCTTAATCGACTCCCGAACCCAAGATTTGGTTGTGAGACCATATTCCTTTCTATTTTGAGGTTTCTTTGATCTTTTCCTTTCCCCGTCGGGATAAATAACGTTTGATGGCGACTCTGTTTTCCGTCGGTTGTTTTTCGCAGTTGCGACACCTTCCATCATGAGTATGGACAATCACGCAGATAGGAAATAGATCTTTGGTGAGGATGAAGTTCAATCTCTTTTTTTTAACTTGCATGTTTATACTTTTTATAAAAAAAATAGATTCTTTACAAAAGCTTTACACCATTGCCTCAGCTCAAGGCATCAAATCTAGTCCCACTAGCCGAGTTGTTACTCCCCCTCCTACTATTTCAACCACATCTATTGTGGCTATTGAGGTTTCTCTGTCCACCCTAGTTCCTTTATCAACTTTTCTGTTTAAGCAAAGATTGGAGGGGGAACGACGAAGAACGAAGTACCCAAAATTGTTGATGGTATGCCTTTGAATAATTTTTTTTGAATCAAGGAAAGAAAATATATATTAATTAAAAAAACAATACAAAGCTAGGTGATCCAAGCAGGATCCGACTACTCCTCAAGGACTAAGACTACATCATAGAACTAACAAGGTGGCGTTTAATCTTAAGGCTTTGGCACCCTCTATAAACCACACTATTTATGATTGTTGTGACTATGTTTGTATTATCCACAATATTTCCAAAAGCTACACTATTTCTATATCTCAAAATGTTGTAAATGGTATTAGCAACCAGCATCTTCAAGAGATCCACTTTCCAACCCTTCCCTTTTGTTATACCAGTAATCCACACTAGCTCTTCAGTCCACTATTAGGGGTCATGGTTAAAATTAATCCAATGGAGCATATCCTGCCATATATGTTTGGTCTTTTGACAGTAAAAAAACAAATGATTCAACATTTCCTCCTCTCTATGGCATACACTGCAGGTGATGTCTTGTATCATCCCAAAGTGCTTCAATCTCTCTTTAGTTGCAAGCTTCCCATGACAAGCTTGCCACAAACAATGAACAACTCGAGGTCGAACTTTGTTGTATTTGATAAGTTCTCTCCAAGGCACCCTTGTGCCATCATCGATGAGAAGATTATAAAACACATTGGCTTTAAATTTGTGAGTGTTTAGAGCATGATTTTATTTAGTCTGCAGGGATACTAGATTCTCTCATTGATTTATAATACCACGAATGATCCAAGAATTATGTGTCTTGATCACATAATTCATCATATTATTTCCTTTCAAATAGTGAGTATGGATCCATTTTACCCACAACTTATCAGACTTGTTGCAGAGATTCCAAAGGCACTTCAATAAAAGAACATTCTTCCAAACCTTAAGATTCATCAGGTTCAACCATTCTTAAGCAGTGGAACATCAAGTTTTCTTCCAGGCCAGAGGATATTTTCTGCTGACAATCTCCTTACCTATCCAAATGAAACTTTTACATATTATATCAATCTTTTTAATCACATACTTGGGCATGTGGAGGCAATACATCCAGTATTGCACCATGGCACAAGCAATACTCTTAACCAATTGAACCCTCTCTATATAGCTTAGGAGCCTAAAGGACCAGCGATGAATTCAAGCCACTATTTTATCCACTAATTGCATAAAGTGATTTATGGTTAGTCTCTTGCTATATAGAGGGATTCCTAGGTACTTGAATAGCAAAGTCCCTTCTTGGAATCCAAAAATATTCCTCAGTAAATCTTTGTTCCTGCAGTCCATACCTCCAAAATAAATCTTGCATTTATTAGGATTCATCATCAGGCCTGTGGAATTGGAGAAAGTTCTGAAAGCCTTTAACATCATTTGCATGGACATTTCATCTCCTCAACAAAGTAACAAGACATCATCAGCAAATGTGAGGTTAGTAATTTTCAGACTCTCGCATTTAGCATGATAATTGAAATTAGGGTCCTTTTGCATTTTAAGCAAAAGTCTATTCATGTACTCCATTATAAGGACAAAGAGCAGGGGTGATATTGGATCACCTTGCCTAATTCCTCTTTTGGACTGCAAGAAATCAGTGTAATCCCCCATTATGTTAAACTTGTATGACACGGTAGTGATACCTAGCATAGTGCATTGGATAAACTTGCTTGGTATGCCAATTTCCTTCATAATGCACTCCAAAGCTCTCCAATTAACCATGTCATAAGCTTTTTGGAGTTCTATCTGCAACATTATTCTAGGAGTGCCTCCTTTCCTGGTGTACCCTTTAAGAAGCTCAGTAGCAAGCATGATGTGATTATCTATGTTCTGGCCTGGCACAAAAGCTACCTGACTATGACTTATCATACTAGACAGTACAGTTCCTAGTCTATCAGTCATAATCTTGGAGATTATTTTATAAAAGGTGGTGCAGACATCTATAGGTCTGTAATCCCTAACCTCACTAGCACTATTGCTTTTTTGGACCAAAGAAACCATAACACTATTGAATGCTTTGTATATCTTACCAGTCTCAAAGTATTCATTTGCAACTACTATCACATCTACGTTAATAGTTATCCAGCTGGCTTTGAAAATTTTGGCTCCAAAGCCATCTAGACCTGGAGCTTTGAGGTCTCCAATCCCCTTTAGAGCTTTAGTAATCTCAGCCTCTAAAATGCTTCTGGTTAGGAAATCCCTTTGCTCCATGTTAAGTTGATTACCCATCCTCATTGCCTCAATATCAACGTGGTTTATATTGTTAAAATCTTTGCCCATTAAGTTACCATAAAAATCCAGAACTTCCTTTTCTATGTCCTTTTGGGATTGGATATAAGTGTCATCACTCTTTTTTAGATTGCTCAGACAGTTGGAGTGGTGTTTAGCTTTGATTGCAACATAGAAATAATGGTTATTTCCATCCCCCTTTCTAAGCCATTCTATCTTTGACATTTGCTGCAATATTTTTTCTTCAAGATCATTTAGGGAAACAACTTCCTTTGTCAGCTCCTTAGACTTACTTATCAATGTGTTATTCATTTTATCTGCACTCAGCTCTTCCTGCACTTTTTTGAGGTTATTTCTAGCTAAAATCAGTCTTGCCTTTACATCAAACAGAGGTTTGCTAATTTTTTTTAACTCATGCTTCAATGTCTTGAGTTTTTGCCACAGCACACACATTGGACTACCTCTGATAGGAACTTCCCAACTATTCTTAACCACAACATCATAACTTGGGAGATCAACTAGACAGTTGCTAAACTTGAAATGTCTGGGGATTTTCCTATGAACTTCTTTAAAATCCAAGTGTAGTAAGGCATAATCAGAGATATTTGGAGGAAGAATTTTCAAAACAGTCTCCAAATTGGTTTGGAACCAATCAGTATTACCCTAAACTCTGTCAATCTTTGAGCATATGGGCCCAGCTTCTTGCTTATTGGACCAAGTTAATTGTTCTCCAATACTATACATCTCACTTAATCCTGTATTATCCATCATTTTTACCAAGTCTTCATATTCCTTCTCAGTCACCAGTTTCCTTCCAATCCTATCCTGAGCTTTGGCTACATTGTTGTAGTCTCCAATTACACACCAAGGGCCTTGGATATTGCCATAAAAATACTCAACCTCTTTCCATAGAAATCTCCTCTTGTTTAGTTGGTTGTGAGCATAAATAGCAGTCAACCAATATTTAAAGACACCTAGGTTATCATAAATACCACATCGAATAAATTGGCTACTACTTTGAACAAATTTCACATCCACCATGTTTCTATCCCAGTGAATCCAGACCCTACTGTTTATGTGGTCTTTATAGTTATCCAGGTGACTATCATAAATCTGAAGCTTCTCACAAATATTCTTGGCTTTAGATTCTTTAACTCTAGTTTCAATCAAAATGATAATAGCAGGTTTTAGCTCTTGGAGACGGGACCTAATCTCACGAATTTTTCCTACTTTATTGAGCCCCCTTATGTTCCATGAGACTAACATGGGTCAAGGTTTGTGATTACTTGATAGTCATTCAAAACCTCAAGTGCTTCAAAACCATTGTTACAATTGATATTACTAGATGTTCCAATCAAAATGATTTTACCTTTATCTCTTGTCGATTTCCCCATCCCTGTCCAAGGCTCACCCTCTTCAACCACTATCTCATCTTCTGCAGTTTTCTTTATGGGTGTTGTAATCCTGATTGCTTTTGGAGGCTTGGGTTTTGGATTCCATTTTTGGACCTTACCACGTTCACCACACTTGTGTCCCAATTTTTGACATTTTTCACAAAAAGCTGGCCTCTATTCATATTCCACAGGCTACAATATCACACTTCCAACAACATTCCTAATGGCTATTTCATTAACCAATTGCTGTGTAATATCTACTTTGATCAGTATTCTTGCATAAGATACATGGAACTTGCTCACCGTGCACTCATCAGTCACCAAAGGTTTGCCAATAACACTCCCAATCTTGCTGAGGCTTTTTACTCCCCAAAGATGCAGAGGAAGTTGGGGAAGTTTGACCCAAATTGGTAATGTTCTTAGCATATCCTTCTTCAGTTTGAAATCAGGTTTCCACTCCTTCAAGATCATGAGCATATTCCTGATCGTGTATGGGCCTTTCATCATCACTACATCCCTGTCTTCCTGAGAGTTAAATCTTAGCAGAAAATAACCTTCATCATGGTAATAAAGATCTGACATCTTCACGAAGTTCCACATTCTTTGCATATAGTTCTTCAGAGTGTTTATACTCAATTCCTCACCCACGACATACAAAATCAGAGCGTTATCCCAGAATCACACTTCAGTTTTGATATCTTCTTGCTCGATATCAATTTCAACCACTCCGTTCACCAACTTTGGCGCCACATACTCCATCGCAAGTCCCTTTGCAGGGTTTTGGTTGTCGCTAATAACGTCCACCTAGAGTTTACGTTCCTCCATCATCGATTTCACGTCTTCCATTAGGGTTTCCGATTGATCAATCTTGAGATCCTCCGTGTTGTTCGCCGCATCATCATATGGTACAGTAGTTGTTCTTGACTCATCCTCTTGTATCTCCGACCTAGAAAGAGTCACTGACGATAGTGGCACCATGGTTTTTGGCCGCCCACGTCCCCGTTTCGTCATCAGAGAGAGAGAGAGAGAGAGCGCCAATTTGTCACCAAAATTTCTTTGAATAAAATTTTGCTGATTATGTAAGGTACTATTTCAACTCCCAAACACTGAAGATATAAGGAGTTAACCCCTAGTCAACCCCTTTAAGCCTAAAAGTTTTTGTTTCTTTCTGTATGGAAAAACCCTTTATCATAACCTAGGGCATGGTAGTATTAAGATAATTTGAAGGTGCATCCAAATTTCAAGAGAATGAGTCCATTTGTACACCTTCCGATAAGAGGTTCAACCACATGCTCTTCTTCGCATACATCAATAAGTGTCAAAGAAATCATGTAAAATCCAAAATTATAGTGGTTGTTCCTTAAAAACCAATAACATGGAAGTCATGATCCTTGTCAAAATCAAACCAAAAGAAAAAATTCCATAGAAATTGTTCCAAAAAAAAAAGAGTCTGCTAAGTCGTACACCATAAAAGGAGACTTAGGCAAAAATTAAGGCATCTCGTGGACTGAAAGCTTCAAAGAAGCAGTCCAAGAAAAAATTAGGGATAAAAATTAAGAGAGAGAGAGAGAGAGAGAGAGAGAGAGAGAGAGAGAGAGAGAGAGAGAGAGAGAGAGAGAGAGAGAGAGAGAGAGAGAGAGAGAGATAAAAAAGAAGGATCACCAAAAATCCTTAATAAAAAAATAGAACAAACTTGTGTGACTACCAAAATAAAAAGGTGACTCCCAACTCAAGAAAAAAACCTTATTGGTTCTCAAACCATCACATTTCCACCTTCAAAATTCTCTTGGAAGGTGAAAGCATGTGTTGAATTAACTGAACATAGGACTAGAGATCATAAAGGAGAATGAGTTGGGTTTAAATCAAAATTTGAGCATTGTATCCCTTTGTTTCAAAAACCATGAACAAGTCTATAATACAACATTCAAAAAACCTAATTTAAGCAAGGTTTATTTTGAAAGCATACTACAAAAAGGTTGCGTTAACCTGACTCCTAGAGATTTTCTAATCAATTGGTATCATATTCTCGCATCATCTTTCACACTTTGAATAAATATTTGATCCATTCACTGTACATCACAACATCATCTCAATAATAAATTCAATTTCAAAATTTGCACGAGCATCATATTTAAATTACCATTTTAAATAATAATTTTATCTGCAAGTCAGCGCTTAGCGTCAAAGAAGTTCCAACAATGTGCAATCAGTGGAGAAGCTTAATCTTTTGTAAGTGATCGCATTAGGGGAGAATAATTCCAAAAAAAATAATCACACTCAGAGGGAAATTTCTTAAAGACTCTATTGATCAAGGGCAAGCCATATGTCAATCTAGAGCAAATCTCTTTAGGACTCGGTAAACTGTTCCAAAGATTAGTTAATCAAGGGCAATCAGTTTCAAAGTTCCAATCACTAGGGCACACTATCTTAAAATTATTAGTTTACTTCCAAACTCCTACCAAGGCAAAATTCTTCAAAAACCCAATAGGCTGGGGCAAGATAAGCGGCATGACGAAGGCCAAGTCCTCTTCATACCTTCAAGCTGCTAAAACAAACCTTATTTTACATCTATAACTACTGAGTTTGAAACGGGTGTCGGGAAATCAAACTTGCACAATATTCTACCAAAGGACCTTTTCTCTTGACAAAAAAAATTTGTTGCAAAAGAACCATTCTTGGTTTTAATTGTCCATGCATACCACCGGGGAAGTGGCTGAAACATCCAAATCATTATCCTCAATCACACTTTACTCATCATTTGCATCAACTATGTTTGCACTGCCTTAGCATCAAACCATGCATATCATCTCATTCATGGGGTGTATTCCCATAACATCTACAAAAAAAATTCCCAACTTCGCTCTGCCATTTTCCAAAGAAAACCAAGACTTGTCTGGAATATTTAACCCAAATTCCATTATCCATTTGCACACATCCAATAACTCATTACATGCATCATTATATATGTATCGTGTCCACAAATATGGTGCACTATGTTAAAAAACCAAAGGCATCTCACGCATCAACAATTACATCTGCACAAAGCATGCATGCATGTCTTGAGCCTGGATTCAGTGACCACTCATGGAAGTTCGTAGTAATCCCCGACAAAGAAATTTGAAATCATTCATTTCTTGTCAATATTATTCAACCCTTTGGTTGAAGTAAAATGTTTATTGTCATGTTAACCTTCATCAGCCCATTGGTTGAAGTTGGTCGTTTATTATCTAGTTGACCTTCATCAAGACATAGGTTGGAGTTTGTTCTCTTGATTTGAATCAACCCATTGGTTAAGGATTATCTTTTCGTTGATTGACATTCATCGACCCATTGGTTAAAGCCAGTTCACTTGATCCGAATCAACCTATTAGTTAAGGATTTTTTTTACCTTCATCAATCCATTGGGTGAAGTTGGTTATTTCGTGTTCTATTGATCTGAATCAACCCATTGGTTGAGGATGATTGTTTTCGTTCATTGACATTCATCAACCCATTGGTTAAAGTTGGTTCTATTGACCTAAATCAATCTATTGGTTGAGGATGATTTGTTCACGGACGATCATCAATCCATTGGTTGAAGTTAGTTATTTTTCATTTGTATCAATCCATTAGTTGAGGATGATTTCTTTTGTTGACCTTCGTCAATCCATTGATTGAAGTTGGCTATTTTTAATTTGTATCAATCCATTAGTTGAGGATGATTTATTTTATTGACCTTCGTTAATCCATTGGTTGATGTTGGTTATTTTTCATCTGTATCAATCTATTGGTTGAGGATTATTTCTTTCGTTGACCTTTGTTAATCAATTGGTTTAAGTTAGTTATTTTTTCATCTGTATAAATCCATTGGTTGAGGATGATTTTTTTGGGGACCTTCATCAATCCATTGGTTGAAGTTGGTTATTTTTCATCTGAATCAATCCATTGGCTGAAGACTATTTTGTTTATGGACCTTCGTCAATTCATTGGTTGAAGTTGGTTGTTTCAGGCTCTGTTGGTTTGAATCAACCCATTAGCTGAGAATGATATTTTTGTCGTTGACCTTCATCAATACATTGGTGGATATTGGTTGTGTCATCTTTTCTTTATCTGAATTAACAAATTAGTTAATCTGAATCAACACATTAGTTAGGGATGATTTATCGTTAACCTTTGCCAATACACTAATTGATGTTGGTTGTCTTTTGCTTATCTGAATCAACACATTAGTTGAGGACAATTTTTTGGTGCCATTGCCTTTCCTCAGTGAGTCTTCCCATTTACCTATTTGGTCTTCCCATTGGAATTCCTTGGCAAGTTATACCAGTTAATCCCCACAGAGTCTGCTTCATATTCTCAATAATCATACATTCATAAAATAACATATCGTCTCATTGCATCTCATACCCATCCTTCTTGTAAAGGACAAAATTTGGGATCTTTTCTTATTTAATTTTCTTCCACCATGAATGTACGAAGACCGTTTTCATTCATACTTTCAAGTTCAGGATAATTAAATAGGGGCAGCTGTCGTACCCCACTTTTTTTCTGGCACTTTTTACTTCGATATTTGATATTTATCTATCTATTTAACAAAAGTATATTTCATGTATATTATTTTAATGCATTAATTTTTTTTGCGCATTTTCGCGCCTGATTTTTGTCCATTTTAATTCCTTATATTTTTTATTCTTTTGTTAAAATGTCAAGAAAAAAATAAATAGAGACAAATAAATAATCATTTGATTTTTATTTATTTTTATTAAAAAGATTTGAATTTTATTTTGTTTTATTCTTTTAAATTCATTCTTAACCATATAAAAATATCCAACATTTTTTTTGGCAAAGCATTTAATTGTGAAAACCTTAGTTTGCTTATTATTTTATGCTAACTTTTTTGACCATTGGATCAAAATCATCAACAACTCACAATTGTTCCCGTCATTTTCACTAGGATCACTATCCATGTTTCTCTCACATAACCAAATTACAATCTCATATCAACAAAATTAACTTCAACAAACACACTTAGATGCAATCTTAACCCTTGATTTTGCAATACTAACCGTTCTTCATTTTCATTTTTCACATTCTAACTCCCTCAAAAACTCACCTCACATTTCACACAAATTTGAATTCACTCACATTCATCTTAGCCTATTTAACAACACCATATCACCACAATCAAAGAATAGAAGGAGTAAAAAGGATAACATATTCACTACTTGAATTTTGCAACAAAAAAAAGAAAATAATTGATTAATTTTAAAGAGGAGAAGGAAAGGATTGATGAGTGATTCATATCACATTGATCGGTACCTATTTGAAGCTTCATCAGAGGGTGACCAGAATTTGCAAAATCATCGAAAAATTCATTGGTGTTCTTCGCACTCATGAGGATTTTCGCATGGGTAAACTTTGATTCTTGCTTTTTACTTGATTTCTTGACATAAACATGTTGTTGCACTTAGTATATTTTATATTCTTTTATTATTTGTGCAAAGTAGCTTAAAATGTGAATTTTCAAAAAATCAGTGTTCTTGTGCATTACACTATAAAATTTTGAAAATTTTAGTTGTTGGTTGTTGATTTTTAAGCATGCCATTGTGTTCGTGAGATCGAGTAGATAAATTTTTATTATTCATTTATACGATTTCGTAAAAATGAGACAATTACACATGGATTAAATAGATTCAAAATGTCGGAGAAGAAAATGTTGAGCGAACGCATGACCACTACTTTTTCTTTTATGTTTCTTTTTTTATTTCATTATTTTTTCTTTATTTTTTAATTAATTGATTAAACTGGTTTAATTAATTAATTTTATGATTTATTTGATTAATTGATTAAATTTATTTTAATTGATTAATTTTGTTAATTGTTTTTTAATTAATTGATTAATTTCATTTTAATTGATTAATTTGGTTGATTGATTTTTTAATTAACTTGACTAATTGATTAATTTCATTTTAATTGATTAATTAAGTAACTTGACCATATAATACCAACCTTTCAAAATGAAATTAAGTACT